TGCACAACAGTGCTACCAGTCATATGGGGTGTGTATATAAAAACATATTTGTATCTTCTATTAAAATGTACAAGTATATAAAACCATATATTTGTATAAAAAGGAAATGGAATCCTTTTGTTTAAAAACAAAACTCCTGTTATTATGTAAAGCGTAAGTCTTGTTGCTGAGGGTATTTGTCTCTATCTTGTTCTTTATTGTGATAGTTTACGATTTTTTATTTCCAGCGTTAGAGAAAAAATTCCAAGAGGGAAAATGAGTCTAAAGAAGCAGATAGACACCGGGAGACAGCCACAAGCAGATAGACACCGGGAGACAGCCACAAGATTGGAATTACAGTGATCAGTGGAATAGAAAATGAGCTAGCAGAGTGGTGGTGAAGACAGTGATTGATATGTAGTTTTAGGCAGTATTCAATCTGAGTAAAGATCATAATGAAAAAAAGAACGGCTTGCTCTGTGTGTGTTTGTATGTTATGCACACAATTTTAGAAATTGAACTTAAAAAGATGTTTGGTTTTGTTTTTTTTTTTTAAAGTGTCTGGCAGCACATTGACTGCATGGGGATTGACAGGCAGCATATTCCTGACATATATCTGTGTGAACGTTGTCAACCAAGGTGAGTAATTTGGTTGATTTTGAACTCTAAATAACTAGATTGAGTAGAGAATATAAAAAGAGGAGGTACTGGAACAACCAACAGATAAAACAGACCATGTAGCATAATCTTGACAATCCTAGTTAAAGGAGCTACATTTGTGATGCAGATGATCTTACCAGTCTCCATTCCCTTGTTCACAGTTTCACCTCACTAGGCAGCAGGGATAAACCCTTGAAACACTTACCAAAGCAGCAGTGATTCCCAAATCCTTTCTCAGGCTGACTGATACATAGACAATCCATTCCATATTTCGTTTCATGGCTGTCATACGTTGAGAACGCTTAACAGCAGTGTTTTCAGGTCAGCTGCCCCACCCATATTTCTCAGTGTCTTTTGTTTTTATGGCCCCATTCCAATATGCTGCCATGCTCACTTGGAGGATTTCTTGCTCTGGAATGAGTATTTTTATGCCCCCTCCCTCCCCCCCAAGTCATATGACATGACAGGGAGGGCATTTTGTTCTGACTGTGTGGTAGGTAGATTATACCTGACTGTCATCTTAGTTGTCCTGTGATGTAGAGTATAAAATGCTAGCTGTTACTTACGTTGCAGATTGTTCATTAAACAGTGAATAAGACATGCGTGTTCAGAACATTTTAATTACCAATAAAACTATTTCTGAGAAATAGTTTGGACCATATTGTAGAATATTCATTTTGTATTGTATTGTGACGATTGTTTTGAAGAATCTGCAGGAAAATGGTTTAATGCCTGCTTATGTGGAATCTGTGGATCAACTGTCGATCTTTCTTCTGAGCTATTAAGTTTCGTTATGTTTTCAAGTGATTTGGATACTTATGTGCTTTGCATTAAAATGGAATGGAACAGTGCACAACTGACGTTTTTCTAAGTGTATAAACATTGAGCTAGTGTACTGTTTATTCTGTAATAGTCAATGGAAAATGGTAACTATGAAAAGGTCTGGTTTAATACTTAAATGTATTGATGCATAAGTGTGAAGAATGGAATAAAATTTATTTTTTAATTTCAGGAGCTTAGATAAAGAAAGGGCAGTGCTGTTGCAACGAAGGAAAAGAGAAAATATGTCAGGTGAGTAAAGCTTAAAGGTTTTTCCTTAGTAAAGGTTATAAAATAAGTATATATCAACTATGTAGACCTGAAAGTGTATACATGGTTCCTGCAATTTTGATAGCCTTCAGCATATAAGGTTTGGTCAATCAACGCCTTTTATTTGACTTTATTGTTACTAAGATAATGTTATATCAGAATTGTTGCAGTTCCATGTGTTTATTAAAGGTTGTCACCACTGCCTTTTTTCTTACCATTGTGGAATAATTCAACCTGTTCAAACATTGTTAAAGTTTCATAATAATGAATGTAGCTTTTATAATGACTAGACTACTTTGAGTAAGCTACTAAAGATAAGGTGGAAAAGGTTCAGGTTTCTTTTGCAGTAAGAGAGGGTTACTAAGTCTACTTTCTTTTTGGAAAAAAATTATTTCACAGCTCTGTCATTTTTTCCTTCATAGTGTAGACTACTCATATCCTCATACTAATATCTTAAAACAGTTCCATTGCAGGTGATATTCTTGTCTCTAAGAATTATATAACTGAGATTTAAAACAACCTAGCATAGTTTTGAGAGGGAATCCTAATTCTGATGTGTGTGTGTATTGGTATGTTTTTGGGTTTGTTTTGACAATGAGAAAAATTGCTAAATGTAGATAATACACTTACATGATGTTTTCAGGGTTTTTGGCCTTTGATAACTAGATGAGGCTTGTAGTGCAAGTATCTCTTTCAGTCACTCTATTTTATGAAATTAGCTCTCCTACCGTTCATAGAATTTCAAAACTCAGCCGGCTTAACTTGTCAGGAGCTCTGACCAGCCATTACCAAAATGTGTCGTGGGTTTCTTGATTGATAGGTGATACTTTCAAGCTCTACTACAGAAGTCATAATTTGGGAGGAAGTCACTCCTAAACTTAACATGTTTTACCTTCAAATCATGTCTCTGAAGTACTGGGGTGTGTGCAAGTGTGTGTGTGTGTTAGGATTTCTTTAAAAAATACCATGTAGATAAGGTCCTGCTGCCTACTTTGTATGCCTTCAGAAAATTCTGAAGTGTGCGATGGTGGCGTAGAAGTGTGTGTAGCTTAATAATGCTTCTTGGTGCAGTTGATAATTTCTGCTGTCCAGTGCTAAGCTGCCTTAAGTCCCTTAAAGGCATTAATGACTTATCTAGAACACCACAATCATTTTTTGTTTTGTCTGTTTTCATTTTAACAAAACCAAACTTACTTTGTAAAGTTTTGGTTGACCTGCTAGGTAGTACAAATTTTTTTTAGAATTTAAAATTAATTTTTGCTGATTCTATTACAATAATAGAACAAGTACGTTTATAATTCATTTAGAAGCGGTATGATATTGTGAGAATGAACTTGAATTTACATACAGGATAAGGGAAGTTGATGGTCCGAGCTATTTAAGTCATCTCTTAGGATTTGTAGCCATACTATCTGATCATTTACTATAAACTTAAGGGAAGAGAGAGAGTCAAAATCTTAGCAGGAACTGAAGAGATTTTATCTTTGAAGTTAGTGTTCAGCCCTCCTTAATCCTGATGATCAGTCTTTTAAATCTGTTCTATGCATTCAGTAGGAAAATAAATACTAAGTAGTAAATCTTAAGTATCAAAACAGAGTAAAAAATAAATTCTAATCCTGTTTAGTCTAAAACTCAGTTGAAGTGCAGTATTAATGACTGTGAGTTATATAATACATAACTTCAAAATGAATGTATGCTTGCATCTCTAGTTAATTTTCATTTAGCCAATACATTTGCTTGGCTAGATGCCCTATTTGACTGTTATTATATGGTTCAGACTTAAAGTAATTCTGGGTATGAACTGTCTATCGTGAGACATTAGTAAAAATAGCCAATTTTCATAGGTAATTCCAAGTAGGAAGAGCAAAAGTGGCATCAATCTGTATGTATCTATTAAATGTTTTAAGTATTCAACAAACAACAGCAGAATGTTACTTGTAACTTACTTAGTAATAAGTTGCAGATGTTTGATTAAAGGTAAGATTGAATTATTTGGATGTTCTTTGATGAGTTAGTATATATTTAGGGCTTTTTTTTTTTAGCCTTACGTATAATAGGGCTTTTCATTTAGATATGAGAATACTTTACAGTATAATGTTTTTTTATTGTAAAGATTTCTAAAGAGTTGCTGCTTTAGCCATGTTGCATCCAGAGCTAAACAGTGGGGAGCAAGTAGTAGATCCGTTGGTTTGCCTCAAGAAAAGAGCTTTTAAGTGAACGTTTCACATGATACAAAATTTGGTGACAATCTTAAACTTTTATGTGTAACCACATCTTTTTTCCTGGCGACATTTATAGCCTGTTGTTCTGGGGCCTGTGGTTGTATGTGGTGGTGTTGGTTTTGTTGTTCTGGTATAACAGTGTAATTCTGATGCAGCTTACGGTGCATTAGATTGCTTACTATGGTTCAGTGGAGTGAGCACCTTTGTTAAGTGCCCTAGTCAATTGTATCCTGATGTTTTGGGTTTGTTTTTTTGTTGTTGTTGTTTTTTTTTTGTTTGGGTTTTTTGGTTGAGTTTTTTTTGGTTGGTTGGTTTCTTGGTTGTGGGGTTTTTTTTTTTGAGAGATAATATCTAGATGTGTAACTTGTTCAAGGATGTTGCTTTGAGCTGTCTGGTCTTGGAATTGGTGCTGATGAAATCACTTACTGCTTGTGGGGAAAAGAGTCTGGGCCCATAACTTCTTGTGAAATTTGGAGAGTTTGTATCTTGCCTTCCAAGATGCAAAATCTTCCCTTGGTGTGCTTCACTAAGGCTCTCCAAAGTGAAAGCAGGTTATGTAGGTTTGGAAGGAGTGTCTCAAAACAACTCTCTAATTATATGTTTGGTTGAGGTAATTATTCTTTACAGTAAGTTAGAGCATAGTGTAGACAACAATATTGAAATGTTGCTTCCCTAAGGAAGACAGTGTTTTGTGGGGTTTTTGAGAGGGATTGCAGGAGGGAGGTGTTTGGCTGTGACATAATGATTCTGTAGGCACTAGTGTATGGACTACAAACACTGAGAATTTGAAGAGGGCCTTGGGTTTTAATTTCTCAATGGTTGATCATTCTGCTATTCGTTTTTCTTTTGATTAGACATTTCTTCTTTCTATGTGTTTGTTTTATGCTAGTTCAGAAAATAGTCCCAGCAGAGATGTAAACAAATTCAGAAAACATCATCAGCTCCTAATATATAAAGAATAATTATGTGCCTAATAAATTGTTCAAAAGAACAACCAAGATGATAAAATTGGATTGCTTACTATGCACAGAAGAATCCTGTTACAGAATGTTGTGAGCAAGAAAAATCCAGAGTAACCAGTAGCTGGAGTTCTTTATTTAGTAAAGAAGGTTTCAAGAATTAGGAGCATTTGAGTGCACTGATTAAGGCAACATCCTTCTGAGCTCAGAAGGAATGTTTTCTCTGCTCTCATTAAGTATTTGTAAAGCCTGCTTCTATGCAGTTTCAGAAAAAGTCTTGCTTAGTGTGAAGTATATTTACTAAAGGCAGAATATTTGGAAAAGCTGCTAAAATCTGAGAAGTCTGTACTGAGCCCATGTGAACAGCAGTCTGCTATTTATGTGCACCATCTCTCTTCCAATCCTCCCCATACTTCACAGCCTTTCATCTTGACAGAACTAGGGTAATCCTGTTTCAGGTCAGGAAATGTATTTGTCTGACATAAATGCTGATGTATGCTAAATTTCAGGCTTTGGGTTTTAGGTCTGTGGGTGCACAGCACAAAGAAAAAGTATCTGCCAGTTTGTGTGTGATCTTTATTTTAGTAAAACAGACTTCCCTTTTCTCTTCCCAGAGTAGCGGAATGTTATTGTTAGGGGATTTTGAGGAGAGAAGGCTTTTGGCTAAATTGATATATTTAACCTGAGAAAGGCACTTGACACTGCAAATTGCAGCTGAAATAGTTGATTACAACTTACACATGACTGATAAATAGGGCTTCACAAGAAATGCTGGGCAGTCGTTAATTTTAATCCCCTCTAGAATACAGTCATCTGAGAGAATCCTAAAGCCATATTACAAGTAAAAGCTATATATAAGTGAATGAGTTAACAAATACATTTTTTTACTATTTTTGTTCTGATTCTAATTTTGCTTATAATGGAATATGATAATATAATTCCATTCAAAGAATGGAATTAATCCATACCTGGCATTACAAACATCTGTTACTTACCAGCTCCTCATTGATCATTCATTTTCATACTGTTGCAACTGTTGGTGAATTTTGCATGTGAGTGCTTGAAGCATTTGTCCGTACACATTTTTGTTTTTTAAAAGCAGGTGTAGTGTAACAAGTGAATGTTCTTTCTACAGTATTTGGTTGTTTACAGAATGTTCTTTGTTTTAAAGATGGGGATACCAGCGCAACAGAGAGTGGTGATGAGGTTCCTGTGGAACTGTATACTGCTTTTCAACATACACCAACGACAATTACTTTAACTGCTACAAGAGTTACAAAAGTCAATGATAAGAAAAGGAAAAAAAGTGGAGAGAAAGAACAGAGCATAGCAAAATGTAAAAAAGTAAGTGAATGTAATTTCTCTTTTTATGACTCTGTGTTACAAATTATAGGTACATGACATCTCTTACCAACAGACACTGGTTTTGAAAATCAGTTGTTGTTACTAATAATTGTTACTAATAATATTTTACTACCTGGGTTTAGATTGAAATGTAATACTCCGCAGTAAATGATACAGTCTTCCCTGCCTCTTCCCCCCCCTTTCCCCCTCTCCCCTTAATTCAAGTTAATATGTACTAGCCATGAAAGTTCAATTTTGTAATTGAGGCAGAACTTGGAGGAATTGCGTATACTGGAATACTTGATATAGTAGAGGTGGGGCAGAGCAGGCTTTGGATACCCAAAGAAGAATTCTGTGTCTGAAAGTCTTCAGTTGTGGTTGTTTTAAGTTCAGAAATACTTGCTGTCAGTTGTCCTGATGTGACTTCATGTCCATTTATTTGAGTTGAAATTGTGTGGAAGCGTGCTGTCAGAAAGTTAGCTACTAAACGGCTTTGGTAAACAGGTTATTGACATTATACTGTTTAGCTACAGGTGTAAACAATAAAACATATGTGAAGACAAATGTAACATATGTGAAGAAGTAAAGTACCTAGAATTTCCTAAACTAATGAGTTCCTTTCTGCAGTTCAGTTTCACCGACTTGGATGGGAATTTTGTCCTTTAAAACTAGAAGTCAGAACTAGTTACCAATATCTTTTTGGAAATCTTGGGTAAAAAATGTTTCCTTCTGAATGAATGGTTCTGAATATAAATTTACGACCACGTATTCTTCTGTTCTTTCCCAACATTGTGCAAGATGATTTAAAGAATAAGGTTTTGTTGTAGAATGACAAACTTCTTTCAAAAGTTAACATCATAGGACATCTGTGACGCCTGCTTCCCCTCCCATCTTTCCACAAATAGTGTAGTGAAGGATGTGGGCAATTTACAGATTTACCTGATAAGTATGGGGTGTTCCATAAGTAACTTTTCAGTTACTTTGCCTTGAATTCTCAAGTTGTAGAGAGTCATGTTGTGATATGGGAGAAGGGTAAGGGTACCTGGACTACTACCTCTGACATCCAGTATGCACTTACCTTGGAATGCTGAATTGTTTTTTAAAACATATTTTGAGAGATGTAGCCTGTTGCTGCCTTGAGATTTCAACGTAGTTTGTTCTCTTGTTGTCATCTTGTGTGTTTTATTGAGAATGGTCCACATTGAAAAGCTGTTAATTCATTAATAGATTTTAAATTTCTTGAGAGATTTTGTATTTCCTCCAGGGAATATAAATATCTAATTTTGTTTCAGGCATTTCGAGAAGGATCCAGGAAATCTTCACGAGTAAAGGTAATGTGATTTTGTTTGGTTTTTGTTTTAAACCTTAATTGTACATTACTTAAATAATACGAAGCATCAAGAGTGCAATTGGGGTTATACATTAAGCACTAAAATACTCTTGATTACTAATGTACTACATACGCATCATAGTAATTTGAAGTTAATGTCTGAGCATTACATCTTTATGTCCTGCAAAGTTAACCGAAATAGTATAGTGTAAATTTTTATTCTGAGAATACTTGGTTTTCAAGAGCCAGTGGAGGAATTAGGGCTTCTTTGTGCTATGCAAGGGAGTAAAGTTGAGTGCACACCCCATTTGAACTTGGAAAAGCTCCAGCTTTTCATAGCTCTAAGCAGCAAAAGAATGAAATGGCTATATTGCATTTGAAAGTTAAACTAGTGATTCTGCGCTGTCATACCTCCATGTATTCATCTGTTGGGACTCTACTCACTAGCACTGGCATAGTTTAAGGAATTGTGTTGGGATGTCTGCTTTGTAAGATTTGTGTTATAGCAGTCTTTAAATTTTCTGTAAGATAAAAATAATGCATGGTGTGAAAACTAGGTATTTCCCATAGTTTATTCATCCTTGGGATATGTAAAAACAAGTGGGACACAATTTACACTTCAGATGTATAAGATGTGACTTGCCAATAGTGAAGACAGAATTGGGAAAGAAAATCTATTTTGTGCTTTTTAAATATGCTGTTTCTATGGGTTTCTTAGCATCACACCTTTTATTAATGCTGCTTGTGTGTATGGTTCTCTTGATGCACAAAAGAAATGTAATCAGTAACAGGTAAATTGAATTGCTGAACTACTTGCTGTTTTGTTAATGTTTAATAGTGTCTCTGCTCAGGTGGATAGAAAAGGGAGCGTTGGTTTGCTGCTGTCTGTAAGGAGCATTGGTTGGCTGCAGCCTGGCTGCTGCTTGTGAGGTCTGGACAACAGCACTTTAAAAGTGAAAGGTTCTGAAGCGCTGCAGAAGAAAATTGTTTAAAGAGGAACAGATAAGGGGAGAAAAATGATCTGTGCAAAGCCTGTAACATTAGAGTCGCAACCTTAATGTAGTAGGTGTAGGATTAGTAAAGTTTAGTAAGATGTGAAGCGGAAAAAAGATACAGCATGACCCTTGAAGTTGAAAGGGGAAAATCAAATCTGTGTATTATAGGATGGAAGCTGGAGTTCTTTACATTTGCGTGTGTTCACAGAAGTTGAGTAGGAAGGGAGATCTGACTCTCCAACTCCTGCACTCGCAAATTCATGATGCAGTGCAGTTGTCGGAGGAAATGATGTCAGTCTCCATTCTCATCTCACTAAAAGCTAGAATCCCTATTGAAGAGGGAATGTATTCCTGAACTTGGGCGATATTTATGAAATGATAAAATTCATAAAAGGACAAATGTAATGCTACTGAATTCAACTCAATGCTTTTAAGTAATGCAGAATTTTATACCTGACTTTCTAAAAAGAAAAACACCTTAAATCAATGCCATACCTTTACCCTTCATTTTGTGTCTTGTTGTAGACTTAATTTTTTCATTTTAATATCTTTTTCTTACCTTGTAATATTTGGTCATTTACTTTAATTTTTAGGGCTCAGCTCCAGAGATTGATCCTACTGACAGTTCGAACTTTGGATGGGAAACTAAAATCAAGGCATGGATGGATCGTTATGAAGAAGCAAATAATAACCAGTACAGTGAGGGTGTCCAGAGGGAGGCACAAAAAATAGCTCTGAGATTAGGCAATGGAAATGACAAAAAAGAAGTCAGCACCAGCAATCTGATTTTCAAACCTCCAGTAGAGGTAATGAGCTGTGCCATGTTGTGTTATTGCATGCTGGTTTTGTGCCATGACGAAGATGCCCATTTAGATGCCTTTTTTAAAAAAAAAAAAAAAAAAAAAAAGGAGGACTTCACACTCACTTTGTGTATCATGTCTCACCAGATCTAGGCGTCAGAGTTTTAACAGGCTTTTTAGAATTTGTAGTTGATTTTCATACATCCTGTATCGCCTCTGGTTATGTTTACACTTGCATATCAGTTCTCATAAAAATAACTAAGGTGCTAGCCTTAGCCTGAACATTGGATTGTCCTTAGACTGCCTTTTGTGGTGGGCATAACGCAGTAAACTTTGCTGCTGCTGTTTCTCTGCTCTGTGAGGAATATCAGGAGTGGTTAGAGTAGATAGAAGCATTGAAGTCGGAATCTTTTTTTTCTGCTATGTGTATCAACATGTTAATTGTCCACATTTTTCTTAAGATACAGTAAGTCTGGTTTTCAGAAAGAATAGAGTTCCATTTACCGGTTCATGAAGTATGTTTCTGATAGTAGGTGATACTTTGATACGGATTTCTTTTTTACTTTTGTGATCCTGTAATTTCTAGTTTATGAAGAAATTGTACAATGTCTTTTTCTATCCTTAACATCAGTTACTTACCAGCTTAAAATCAGAGCCATATAACAGACTTTAGCATTTTGTAGCAGAATTCTCAAGGAGTAGTTACTGAGCAGTTTAATGGAAGCATCTTTGCTTCTTTTCCTCAAAGACCATCATGGCATATGGGACACCCTCCTTAGAGGAATATCCCTGCTTTTACAGAGCCTTTTGCCTACATAGAGGCTACTTCCTTTTTGATTGGCGATGACAGTTACGAGAGGTGTGAGTTCACTAATTGTCAGGGTATGTATTGGTTTTTAATTAAAAGCCATCCTTCCATCTAAAGATACGGAAATAAGAAATTTGGAAACTCTCTCAGGATTCTTTTTTATTATTATTATTTTATTTTCCTGTTCTGTTTTTTCTTGAATGAATCATAAATGTCCTTTTATGTTTGCATGTTTTGTTTTGTTTGAAGGAATTGAAGCCTTTTGAAAGTGTTACGCAAAACAATGCAGCAATTCGTCCTAGTAGTGGTGAGAGTTAAGTGCACTAAGGGATATAGTACTTGAATTGTGAGAACATGAATGTGTTGGTTTTCAGCCACGTACTGAAGAACTAGGGCTAAAACATTTCTTGACTCTAAATTCATATCTAGTTGCATTGGTAGGGGAACAGAATGGTTTGATCAAATCGGTCTGGAGGTTTAATTACAAACAGGAGGGGTTTTTTTTAGTTCATATAGAATTGTTTAGTAGTTGTGAAAGTATAATCTTCTGTTAATAATAACGGAAAAATGGTAGAAAATGATACTTCATAAATTAACTTATGTCTTTGTAGAGTTACGTGCAAAAAAACAAGAAAATTTTAAAAGCTGCCAAAGACTTGCCTCCTGATGCACTTATTATTGAATACAGAGGAAAGTTCATGCTGAGAGAACAGTTTGAAGCTAATGGATATTTCTTTAAAAGGTTTGTTTATTCCAAATGTTTTAATAAGGTAACTGTTAAAATGCTGTATTGCCAAACTCTTGCCTCAAGTACAAGTGGGTCTTAGTTACCAGCAGTGTCTTGCATTTACTGTTGTCTGATTAAAAAATAATTGCAGCTGGAATCTGGTCTGCCCCTTCTCTTCTGGATATCCTTACAGATCAGGAGTTAGTTTCCTTTTTCTTTGTTCTTTCCTGGTTACAGGATTCCTGCATTCTCAGTTGGGTTGTTTTGCACCTTAAACCAGAGATTGGCAGGTTCTACCATCCTAAAATAATTCAGTAGGTAATGGCAAAGACATTCTCTTTTGTAAGAGAAATAGATTTTAAGTCCATCAGGCCGAGAATGGAATTGGACACAGGTCAACTGGCAGCCTTTTTACTGCCAGAATTCTCTAGTTGGTTAAGTTACTGAGCAATGCGTGACTACTTCCTTCTTCCTGTGGATGATTTTCAGTACTGCCATTAACTGCACAGACACACCTACTTGGGAAATGTCAAGAGGCCTATTCGAGAAGAGAGAACACTGAGCTTTTGCTCAGTGAAGATGGAAGGGTTCCCTGGCACTTCTAATAGCAGAACTTAAATACTTTGCCAAGACATGTTTTAGATGCCCCCTTTCTTCAGGAGGGTTGGGTGGTAGTGATGCTGCAGGTGCTAGGCAGAGATGTGGAGGCGTTATTTTATTCTATTTTTTAAACTATTCCATGAGGCACCTAAATGTCTCCCCGAGTTTCATTTTAGGACCTGCCATAAGAAAAGCTCAAGAAAGATGAAGAATCTTAATCTTGTGTCTTCCATGTCTAGTGCTTGCCCTGTTACTGTTCCTCCCTTTAGATCCTATGCAGAAGAATTACATTCAGGGCTGTAACTCAAACTTACAGTATTCTGAGAATACATTTGGAGAACGTACCGGTTAGAATCATGAAGCTTAAATACAAACATGTCATTCTCAGATTAACCCACAAATTTGGTGTATCATGCCAAACATCATGTTACAAAGGTAACTAATGTGAAAAATAAGTGATATTTAGCATCTTCAAAAATTATAAAACTCTGGGTTTCTTGTATCTTTTTCAGGCCATACCCATTTGTTTTGTTTTATTCCAAATTCTATGGGCTAGAAATGTGTGTTGATGCAAGGACTTTTGGAAATGAAGCTCGATTCATCAGGCGTTCATGTACGCCAAATGCGGAGGTGAGCATATACATAAATTAGGTTTTATTTACTTAGAAGTCCCCTTCTCCTTGAGTTTCCCAACTGATAATTTGAGCAATCCCTACAATTTCTATACAGGTACTTTTTTTAAAAAAAGGAAAAAACAAAGTAATTCATGATGATATAATGTTCTCTTGAATATAGGTGAGGCATGTAATTGAAGATGGAACAATTCATCTTTATATTTACTCCATCCATAACATTCCAAAGGGAGCAGAGATTACTATAGCATTTGATTTTGATTATGGAAATTGGTAAGTATTTGAGCATGCTGTTCTGAAATACATCTGACGCTTATTAAGATATGTTGCGATTCAGAGTGGCTGGTTTTATGTCATTTACTTTCTTGCATGCTTTAATAACATACGGCTTCTTAAGCATTGTATTTACAATGAACTGTATGTGTGTGGGCAGAGTTTCTTCTGTATTTTTATTACTGCATATCCGTTGCTAATTTCAGCAATGCTGCAGTCACTTATAAATGATGTGGAAAAGATACAAACTTAGATGAATGTGAATAAAGATGTACTATGAAAATTTATATGTAGGTGTCTTATAGTGTGGGGAGAGTAGAGGGAAGAAAATCTAGAACTATTTGGTAATGCCCTATTTATTTCAGAGTGCCTCTGTAGTATAACTTCAGGAAGACAGCATCTGGAATTTAGTTATAAATCATGTTTGTTTTAATGTGTGATTAAGAATGTTCAAATATACTGAATGCTTAGTGCCTTAGATTCTATAACCTATTGCACATTTTCCTGAATATAACTGCTGCTCCTTTGATGAATTGGGGAAAGGTCTAATAAACTGTTGCCACTACCTATAAGCATCGTTTTGAAATGGTAAAGGAAATAATCAGTTAAGTTCCACTCACATATGTAGGAACTGTTATGCAAACACCTCTTTGAAATCTGATGGCAAAATAAGGCCTTTGAGCGATAAAAACCTAGTAATGATTTCTCTTGGCTAGTAGGAAATGTTCTAGAGTATAGGTGCATTGTGCAGGAACATCTAGGCTCATAGTGACCTTGGAAACAGAAGCATTGAAGAGCCTATTTCTGTATGTGCTCTTGGTTAGGTCCAGAAGCAGTCCAGCTGTTTCCCATTTTGCTACACCAAGGTAATACACTTTTCTGTGGTCTCCTCATAAGTCAGCTTGGGTGCAGTGCTCTGCAGACATGCCTTCACTACTTCTGGACCTGAACCGGTTATGTCCGTAGAGTACTACCTGTATTGATCGAGTTGGGTTCAGACTAGCTCAAGATACCTTGCACTGTTAAGTGTTGTAGACGTACCTCTACATCCCTCACATGAAGACAACCTGAGAAATTGCCTGGTTTATACGTTTTTTAGGTTTTGTTATTTATCCTTTTAAAAGTGTGTAGTAGTTGCGTTTAGTACCTGCAGCTGGCAGTCTGTGTAAGTTGGATGTGTTTGAATAACAGTTCCTATATATCCAAGTGGAACTTGAAGTTCTGCAGAGTGACTCTGAGTTCTTTCCAATTTGCTTGTTCTGTAAATTGTGTCTACTGTCTTTGCATAAAGGAAGAACTGTCCTTGCATGTGTCTGTTAATTTCTTTAACGTGGTGGTTTTATTTCCACCCAGGATATACTCATGTTTTAGATGTCTTCCGTCTTTTAAGCAGATGCTGTTAACCAGTAGATGAGATTTTTGAATTATAGCGATACTGTATATCTTGGTGAAAACTTGAGTAAACTGCTTTTAATATGGTTTGTTTGCATCATAGCAGGTGTTTAATGTGAAGTGTATCAGCTTGTGTGATTTAGTATTGAAAAGTCTCATCGCTGTACAGCCTAACCAAAATAAACCTTCTTGCATTTAATTAATTTTAGTAAATACAAAGTGGATTGTGCTTGCCTCAAAGAAAATCCTGAATGTCCAGTTCTCAGACGTTCTGAGCCTACAGAAAACATCAATACTGGATATGAAACCAGAAGGAAAAAGGGAAAGAAAGAGAAAGATGTTTCAAGAGAAAAGGAGACTCAAAATCAGAACATCACATTGGACTGTGAAGGAGCAGCCGCCAAAATGAAAATCGCCGATAAACAGAGGAAGCTCTCTCCCCTCAGGCTGTCCATTTCTAATAATCAGGTATTGACCCAAAGATGATCATAAAGAAAAGCTTTTAAACCCAAATACTCTCCTTTTGTACTTACTAAAGGACTTTTAACAAGTCACGGAAAAAGGGGTATGGAGATTTATCAAAAATCATAATGATGGATAAGCTGTTTAGAATTTTTTATACTATTTTCATTTTTCCTTAATCATAGAATAGTTTGGGTTGGAAAGGACCTTTAAAGGTCATCTAGTCGAACCCCCATGCCGTGGGCAGGGACATCTTCAACTGGATCAGGTCCAACCTGACCTTGAGGCATCTACCATCTCTCTGGGCAACCTGTTCTAGTGTTTCACCGCCCTCATTGTAAAAAATTTCTTCCTTATATCTAGCCAGAATCTGCCCTCTTAGTTTAAAACCATTCCCCCTTGTCCTGTCGCAACAGGCCCTACTACAGAGTTTGTCCCCATAATATTTGGTTGTATTTAAAGATATGTTGGTTCCTATACCAGTTTTAACTATACATTTTTCCTCTGAATTTCTTTGTGGATCTCTAATGTGAAAGCCTCATGTCATGCTTTCAGGAGCTCCCAGTCCATCCTGAAGTGTCTTTTGGTTAGTTGTTTATGTTACTCAGGAGCGTAGTATTTTAAACATAGCAACAAGTAGCCCTGCCCCAATAACAAATAAAACTTCAACCCAGAATATTAAGTGTTGGCTGCAGCTCTGTGTAGAAGATTAAATAGAGTTTGGGGAGTCAGGATGAGGAAGGTGTGTTTTGAAGCTAAATACTGGATCATGGGTGGATAGTATGGTAAAGCTACCTGGTAATACACCGTGGTAGTCAATTTTAAATTAGTCTTTCTTTTGATATGTCAGTTTGAAAGAACTAGTGGGAGAGATCCATGAAATTAATTACTAATTTAATTTTGCAGAGCAGCTATTACAGATAAATACTAAAATGAGAAGATGGTTACTTTAGTAACTATTTACCTTTTCCTTCTTAGGAGTGAAGGAAATAAGGTGAAAATGAGCATATTGACCCCCAGTTTTCATAAGATGATCAAATTGTTTTGGGGTTTTATTAGCTAAATGGCTTAAAAATGCTTGGAAGTCCAGAAGGCATGGCATGTGACTGTTACAAGTTATGATTTCTAGAGGCAACATTTAAACTTTCTCATCTTAAGTGATTTTTTGTTTTTGTGTTTGTGTTTTTTTTAACAAGTGATAACTGGTATTTGGAACCTTCTGCTGAGCTTTTAACATAATATACAGTGTTTATATAGAACAGTCACAGGAGAACTCATTGTTTTTCAAAACTGAAAACAGTAGGAACTTTGAGAAGAATAAAGCTGTTAAAATGTGCGTCTAAACATAGAAGCTAGTCAATTAATAGCTTTTTTTCCCTGGGGTGAAATATATTATGCTAAGGTAAAGAAAGCATATGGGAAAATGTAAATGTATTTTTAAGACAAATGTTAAAAAAAACTTTGTCTAGTCCTTTATGTAAAAGTGAAATTGTGTATAGGACTAGTGAACACTTAACTCTTTTCAGTTAGGTTTTTTTCCCCCCCTTCTTCAAAACAGAAAACCACTATTAGTTAGCTAACTGTCATTAGATTAAATAGTGAGAGTTTAAATGGAAAATGTAATTTTAATCGAATATACTTTTGAGCAGAGAAGAACCTCTGTCTGTTAACATCTCCTTTGACACTCACTCTATTTCACTAAAACTAATGCTTTTTTTTTTTAATGGGTGTGTAATGTACAGTTCCTAATTCTTTAACTGATTATAAAGTGCCTAGATCAGTGGCCAGTGTTAGTGCCCAAAAGTTTCTATTGGTTTGGAGATTTAATTCCGGAGATTTAATTTGGAGATTTTTTGGTTGGTGGGGTGGGGGAGTGGGGATGGAACCCCAAAATTTCACAAGATCAGTATGCTAAAGAAAAAAGATACAGATGTGTCTAAGCTCAGAATGGACAAGATCTAGTTAGGTGATGATATTTGCAGGTTTATACAAAGATGTACAAGTCAATATTAGGTTTTTTTATATTTTTGTCTTGATTTATTGGCTTGGTTACTTTTGATGTAGTGATCTGAGGATTCTTAGTTCTGTGTAGCTTTTAGTTTTCCCTAGTTTGCAAGAGTAGTAGAGCTTCTGTAAAGCAGTCATTTCCATCTTTCAGGAGCCAGATTTTATTGATGATATAGAAGAAAAAACTCCCATTAGCAATGAAGTAGAAATGGAATCAGAGGAACAGATTGCAGAAAGGAAAAGGAAGATGGTAAGTTGGGAAGCAAGTAGCTGCCTAAAGTTGTCACTAAGGCTTAGTGACACCTGCTCTTCCCATGCTAATTGCTGCCTTTTTTTAGGCTTGTAGAATTTGAGTACGTATGAAGTCAGATCCTTACATGAACGTCAACTTAAAATGCAAGGCTTGCTATTTGAGAGCATTTCATCTGGCTTGATCATTGCTTTCTGACAAAAACCTGCTTTTATCTTCAAACGTATATAATTTTCTATTGCCTTTAAAAAGACATTGTAGAAATAATTTAGATTTTATTTTCCTCACTCTTTATTATTGCATGTTATTTGTAATGGCTATTTTATAGATAGTATTGGGAGTCAGGATTTTTGCATGACTATTTTTTTTTTGAGTTCCCAACTTACAAAGCCTCAGAAATCCTGATTTTCAGAGGTTGGTAGAACAATGTTACCAAAACTGGCATTTTAAAATGTGCTTTTCTTGTTAGGCATTCAAAATGTGAAATACTTGAAATTACTAGTGAAATCAAAATCTTGGCCAAGTTGTATAATGAAATACTAATATTTGGAACTTTAATTTTATTGTTTGTGCTCATAGAACTTCTGATAAGTGGAGTTCAAGGTGGCACTAAAACTGTCTGCATCTGCCCGGACCTTAAAAAAATAAAGGGGGATGGGGTATCCATTCCATTTGGTCAGTATTTCCTACAACTCTGTCAGTAGCAAAATTGATGAGACTTGTGTTTATTAGACTTCAGAAAGCAAAATCTGCTCAAGTAAAATGTATATTTTAATACGAAATCTGAAGAATGACAGCATGAGCTGTTCTGTGTATTAACATATAGCAGTGTCTTGTCATGCTTTTGAGGAATGATTCTCATCAAACGCTGTTGGATGTATTGGTTTTGGTCCAGAGGGTGTGCTGGTGCTTTTTTTTTTTTTTTTTTTTGGCACTTTACATTTGTATTGTTACTAAAGCAAAGCTCTGTGAAACTTAGTTACAACAGAGTTGCTGTAGTAGTTAAAGATGTAATTATTACTCTAGCTCCATTACAAGGATTGCAGATAACTGCAAGTTTGCTTGTATTTTACCAAGCAAACAGTGGTCGGCTCACTGGCAGAAGAAAATTGGGTTCCTTGTTCACTTATATGAGCAACATATTTGCGGCTGTTCGTCTTTCTTTGTTGCTGTGAATGCACTGTTGAGCTTTTTACTGCAGGCATTTACTTAAAAAAAAAGAAGTTTGTAATAGAAGCCCCCAATTCTGCCACCTCTGTATTGTCTTAAGCAGAGTTCTGTGCAGACAAAGAGATCTGCCTCTGTATAGCACTAGGACCTGAATTACGGATAGACAGAAAATTCAGCTTCTCTGTGTGACCTAATGTTATCTTATTTTGAAATAGTGATTCTTGGATGTTGATTGTATGTTTTGATATAGTTTGTGACACTTGGAAAATTGGGTCAGAGGATAACGGAGCTTTCTATTGTTTCATACATGTATTAGTATTTCATATCTTTCTGGTCATTAGTGTTTCGTTGTTCTTAAATAGTATATATGCAAGTAAGTGGCTCAGAGCTATGTGTTCTTTTATACTTATATGCCGGTGATTTACTAGTAAATCACTATTTTTAGCAAGTTCTTAAATCCAAAGCAGGACCCTCTTCTTGTTTGTCAGGGTTAGTATGAATGCAAGCCTTTCTTTAGAAGTTTGTAATAATTGCAGTCATTGTAACATCTCCCTTTCCTCTGAGCTTTTGCTGAAATTGATCTGCATGTCAACACACAGTGAACCTGTTGTGAAGTACTTAAAAGAAATAAAAAAGTATTTATTTATATATGCAAAAGATTATGACTGAAACTTGATCATGATTATTATTAAATCCATCAGACAAGAGAAGAACGGAAAATGGAAGCTATCCTGCAAGCTTTTGCCAGACTAGAAAAAAGAGAAAAAAGAAGAGAACAGGCTTTGGAAAGAATCAGCACAGCAAAAACTGAGGTTAAATCAGAATGCAAGGAAGCACAGATTCTCAATGACACTGAATTTATCCAGGTAGCTATCTGGAACTTTTTTTTAAAGGTAGCTTTTAACATGGCATATTTTATCAGTTTGGATGTTGAGCTGCACTTCAAGATGTATGAAATACTTTGTTTTGGTTTGTTTTCCTTCCCCTCTGAACTCAAATATATTTGACCAAAATCTATATAGTTCTTTGACATTATATTATGTTAGCTCCTGTTTTGTGGTTGGTTTTTTTTTTTCCCCCCAAGAAAATATGTATAGAATTTGTTTATGAGGAATTTCAGTTGCATTAGTTTGTGCAAATGTGCACACACACACCCACCAGCTGTATAATTCAGTCTGTGTTTGAAGTTCAGGATGGGAGGTGTTTACCGATACTGACTTTAGCCACAGGAGGTAGCTTTCCTTAGGCACCCTCTATAACCAGTGGACAACTTCCTTCTTTAGTGGATTGTTCAGGAACAGATCATAATCCTTTCTTTTCTTTTAAAGGAAAGGAATTATTAAGGCATAGTTTGTTCTGAGTTCTTGCAGATGATACTTAATGTTTCATAAACAATTTGTTACTGGATGCTAGTATGCTTCTTACCTTGCAAATACTCCTACAGATTCTCAGTTCATCTTGTTTCCCTGGATAATATCTGTCAGCATGCTGTTAAGTACCTTTTGTGATAATGCTAAACACTTAGTAAACTATAAATTACAAAAAGGATATTGAACTGCAAGACATCGTGATGTAAGCAGCTGATTTCTAGCTTATGGATGAATGAATGTGGTATGGCAGTTCTTAGACAAATGTGGTGATCTGACCAGTACTGGTATGTGTGAATGCTCTGCCAGTGATATATCAGGTGCTTGGGAGGAAAATACAGGAAATGTTGTAGTTTGCCTTGAAGAAGGATAGAAATATTATCTCTGAAGTGTTTTAGTTCTAACAACAAAAATGAGATAAAGGCTTTTTGGACCTGTAAAGGAAGGGGGAGCTGACATTTTGTTTTAAGAAAGATACGTAGCTTTACATGTGTGGGGGATCTGTTTACTAGACTTTTATTTTATACCAGGAACCAGCAAAAGAAGAAACTGCCACCAAGCCTACCCCAGCCAAAGTTAATAGAGCTAAACAGAGAAAAAGCTTCTCACGAAGTAGAACTCATATTGGACAGCAACGTAGACGACACAGAACTGTCAGCATGTGTTCAGATATCCAGCCATCTTCTCCTGATGTGGAAGTAACTTCACAACATAATGAAACTGAGAATGCTGCACTGGTAGCTGAGCCTGAAACAGAAACTGTTGTTACAGAAATGGTTACTGAAACGGAAGCTCCAGCACTTAATAAATGCCCTACTAAGTATCCTAAAACAAAGAAGGTATGTCTCTTAAGGGATGGGGAGAAGAGGATGGTCTTGAACAGAGTTTTAAAACATCAGACTGCTGCATCAGTATGCAACTATATATAGATTTTTTTTTTTTTTTGAAAATTGACTCATTTCTTTAGAAATCACCATTACATAGCCACTCACTGGTGATAAACTAAGAGATTGAAAAAGGTATGTGTAACATCCATTGGTAGAAGTTATTTTGGATTTTAAGAGACTTCCAAAATGCATCTTTTAGAACAATTTTGGAACAAATATGTTCTAAGGGAAGTACTTTCTAAATGGACTGAAATAATATACATAACCAAAACATAATTAAAGGTGTTAATTTAAAAGGGGGGAAAAAAAAGGAAATAGAAGTTGCCTTTCCTTCCTTTGTTCATCATATGCTTTAGAAGGTATTTTAATGGTAGCAAACAGAATATCTCAAAGGAAATCTTTAACTTCTAGTACTTCTGAGATGTCTGTTCTGAAGTGAATGGATTTAAACACTCAAAATTTGTGTGCATGTTGTTTGGAGGGAAGATTCTTCAGAGACTCTCTTCAGAGCTTTGTTTTTAAATTTTTTTGTTGGACTGCATTGCAAAAAGCTTGAAGAAATGCCGCAATATTTAAAGACACTCGAAAAAATCTTAGATCTGCAAGTGTGAATAAAGCAGTAAAACTTTCTGCTTTACAATTCCATAGGCTGCGTTAAAAAGTGACTTTTTTCCAGCGCGCTTTACAAGTTCTTCTGAAAATTTTGTTTGGTGGAGGGGGGAGCAAGTCATAGGTTGAAACATCATGACAAATGAACAATAACAATTTCAAGATGGTTTTATGTTAAACCTCCAAACATACTTAACTTTTTTTTTTTTCCCCCAAAAGGCACCTGAGTCATCCTGTAACACTGCTTATTTGCATCATTATTAAATTCTTGTCAGAGGGGAGACTAGAATCTTTCTTTTTTGCGTGTTGCATAGGAAAAAAGAAGATACCTGAGAAGTCTGAATTTTACTGCACTTTTTTGCCATTTCATAGTATTAAGGATAAACATCTGTGAAATCATAGAATCATTAAGGTTGGAA